GAATTATAGTATTAGGTTGTCCCAGAAATTTCTGTTATTAATTCTTTTATCGACTTCTTGTAAAAAACCGTCCAGTGAGAGAGCATCATTTGTAGTTATACTTGACCTAATACTAACAGAAATAATTGGAAGAACGAGATATGGTATTCCATCATGATAATGCCCCTGTCAAAAATGAATTGTTGGGATTGTTGGGATATTGTACTTCATACTCTGCATGGATTCCCATGTGATGATTCTCTATTACATACGTTCCTGCATTCCTTTTTTAGTAATTCAGTCAGTCATTCCAGGATAAAAGGTTCAATAAATGATAAAAAATAAATCTAAAACAATATTTTATCAAATCCCAAATGGGGTGCAGACAGTAGCACTATTTTATTATCTAATCCCAAACAACAAATTATGCTACTTCTGGAGGGATGTAGAAACTTAATAAAGCAGAATGGATAATACATAGTTCAACAACACGACTTAATCATTAGTTATTAATAAAAACGCAATAAACTTCTGGAACAATTTAATACTATTTTTGCTGTCACGAGAGTCCATACTAGTTTCACTCAGCTGGAAGTAGTGGATTAACCGAATACGTAGATCCGAATAATGGCGAAAATATGGAAAGCATTACAGAGAAAGATAGAGATATGGACAGCGAGCGAAAACTGGTTTTTGCGCACTATGGACTCTCGTGATGGCAAATATAGGCTACAGATTTTGTGCATTCATTGAAAAAGTGAATGCAGTGCAATAGTGGATATCAAAACCTGTATTCTCCCTAATCTCACGTAGACACTTCAATTATTATTTTCTAACAAAAATAGTGATTAAAAAAATGCTATATCTTTTGGAAAATCGAGTTATCTCTAAAAATTCTTACTGTAAGGAATAACATGTATGAAAACGCCTTGCTAGTTCAATTAAATAGAGGAGATCGAACGATGCTAACTCGTCTAAGAATTAGTCACACAGAATTAATTCATATGAATAATAATATGGNTTATTAAATTAATTATTTTTATAATTGTTTATTATAATTAAATTTATTCCATGAGAGATTTTGTTACAAGCGACTGTAATAAGACTCGTGCGTCACCATGTTTCTGCTGATGTCTTTAATGGATGCACAGCCTGAAAATTGATTAGCAAACATTCTTAGGATAATTCAGTTACTCAAAGTTTTTGTTAAATAATTAGGAATATACCTGTTAACGCAAATGTGACATCAATTTCTTTCCTGAAGACTTCAAGAACTTTCTTCACGCCTTCCTCGCCGCCGTAAGACAGGCCCCACAGCATGGGTCGGGCAGCAAATACCTAAACAAATAACAATTATTAAGATTAATTTAGCCGCAAATTGAGTTAAATGGTTTTGTTATAATCGGTGGAAGAGATATAATGAGGTCGTAAAATTCGGCCCTATCATAAAAATTATTGCAGCTCTGCTACCGAAACAGTAATTTCAGGTAGAATTTCAGGTACTCAAGACGAGGCAGTACCGGGCCAAATAAACTTATTTGGCGCCCTGCTCTTTAAACGACCGCAACAGATCTCGGGTTGGAATTTTTATGGCAAATTTTATGATGGGCGAATTTTAGATCATTATTCGTCTATACCAAACTCTAACTGTACCTACCATACGCGCGCCTAAAGCAAGCGCCTTGAAGACGTCGATACCTTGCCTTATTCCTCCGTCCAAGTAGATCTCCACTCTACCTCTTACGGCGTCCGCTATTTCCGATAACACTTCGATCTACAAATGGAAAATCACATTCTTTGTATCACAGTTTAATTAAGAAGAAAGGATCAATGAAAATGAACGGACCGTTGCCGGAAGAGTGTCGACTTGTCGAGCGCCGTGATTTGAAACGATGATCCCAGCCGCGCCGTTCTCGACACCCAAGATCGCGTCTTCCGGAGTTAGGATTCCCTTCAAAACCAATGGTAGCTTCGTAATACTGCAAGAAAAATATTTCTTGAAAATCCGTAACTGAGAGATTTATTCAGGTATCTATAAAACTGTCTGCCAACCTTTTCAGCCACTTGATATCTTCCCAACATAGAGAAGCGTCGAACAGGTCCATGACGTATTCGCATAAACCGGAACCGGATTCTGCGTTATTTATTTTGCTCGACATATCACCTTGGAAGTTTCCTAATCTGTTCATAAAAATATATTATTGACCTCGTATATAAGCTTCACATAGAAGTTATCGGTACGTACTTTAAGTGACAAGGTAGAGAGAATTTGTTTCTGATGTCGGCCCTTCTGTCACCGAACATTGGCGCGTCGACGGTGAGGACCAGGGCTTTGAAACCGGCGCGTTCCGCCCGCGATACTAAATTTCTTGTGATGTCGCGGTCTTTGTAAATGTACAATTGGAACCATTTTACTGCACTTGGTGCAGCCTCAGCTACCTCCTCAATGCTACTTGTTGATATCGTTGACAAAATGTAGATCGTGCCCGCGGCCTGGGCGGCTGAAAATTAAGATTCTATGAGCCCTTAAATAAAAACAAATCATTGAAATTAGAAGAAATTAATAATATAATTATTAGGTCAATGCAAAAGTTCGTGCTCGATTTTTAAAGGCGATTTAGATATCACCTCCGCGCAGATGCTTTTTTTAATATCATGTTACAAATACATTGAGAGGTAGTGTCATCGTAAGAATACTGCAGATTTTTATAAAATAAAAAGTTAAGGATAAGGGATTTTTACTATCAATTTAAAAAATATTCCTTAAACAGGGATTGCTAATACATGCATAAATGTGTGCGTGTACGTATGTACAATCGTCTATTAAAATTGGGAATCACTAATTCAGGTTCTTGATTATCATGTATGTGCTGATAGCTGTATGTGCACAGATGCATGTATGTATAAACAACTTCCCGATGCATATGCATGTGGTTCATAAGAATGTAAGAAAGTCACCAACACAAACATAATAACTAATAACCTGAAGTTAGTCATATTAAAATCTTAGTAGACGACTGTACAGTCAAACACAGACAACACAGTCAGTCGACGCCAGTTAGTCGAAGCGTGGTGATTGTGCACGACCGATGTATTTTATCGCGTTGCGATTTGTTGATTCCTTTCGTATTAAAGATAGCAGCTGATAAGCGAACGAAACGCGATTGTGCACACATGAGGTTAATTTCGTGTAGATAGTCGAACCAAACCGGTGGCTGGCAGCCGGTTTTCCGTGATTGTCATCGCGCGACATGATCGTGCATCACGATGATGAGAAGAAATGTAGTGAGCCTGATAAAATTCTTCCTGCTGGCAGCGTTCACCGTTTTCCTAACCGTCGTTGTGTTCCGGTACGTGAGGACATCGCCTAACCATGAAACCGCGACGCCGCCGGCCGTCGCGTTGCCGGCCGTCGACGGTGACAGCTCGAGGAATTTGATCGATCCTAGGCAGAACATCAACGATCATCTCTATCAGGTACGGGTTAAAGACCCAGGCTCATTATCGAGGCAAGAGAAACAGGTTTAGCGACGGCTTAACCTTCTGCATTCCATGCAGTAGTGTATGACCACTTTCGTGCACCCGGACGCAAATATTATTCCATAGTCCTTCAGACGAAATGATACACAATGTCAGCAAACAAATAAATATAAGATAACGTTTGAAACCTTTTCGAGAAACTCAAGATCCCAATTCCATAGTTTCAAATTGTATGACTTATCATCCACTAAATGTTATCTATATTTACTTTGATATTATGTCCCTCAATTGCAGGATAATAGAAGTAAAGATCATTTTTAAAGTATAATGTTTTTTCAGGATGGAGATGAGAAGATAGATTGGCATGATTACAAGAAGATCGAGGAAGAATCGAAGAGAACTGGAACAGGGGAACATGGAAAGCCAGCATTTCTTTCGCCATCCCTCGATATGTTGAAAGAAAAATTGTACCAAGTAAACGGTTTTAATGCTGCGTTGAGCGATGAAATCTCGATGAATAGGTCGATACCTGACATTAGGCATCCGGGTTGTAAAAAGAAGAAATATTTGAAGAATCTCGACTCTATATCTGTGATCGTCTCATTCCATAACGAGCATTTTAGCACGTTGATGCGCACTTGTTGGAGCGTGATAAATCGGTCGCCGGAATCGCTCCTCGAGGAGATAATATTGGTTGACGATGCTAGCACCAAGGTAGAATTAAAGAAGAGCCTACACGATTACGTAGCCGAACACTTGCCGAAAGTGAAAATTCTAAGACTGCCGGAACGCTCCGGATTAATCAAAGGTCGACTAGCCGGTGCGAAGGTCGCGAAAGCGAAAGTACTCGTGTTCTTGGACTCCCACAGCGAGGCGAATGTCAATTGGCTGCCACCTCTGTTAGAACCGATCGCGCAAAATTACAAGACCTGCGTCTGCCCGTTTATCGACGTGATAGCATACGAAACGTTTGAGTACAGAGCTCAAGACGAGGGCGCGAGAGGGGCTTTCGATTGGGAATTGTATTACAAAAGATTACCACTTTTACCCGAGGATCTCCAAAACCCGACTGAACCGTTTAAGAGCCCAGTAATGGCCGGCGGCCTGTTTGCCATTAGCGCTAAATTCTTCTGGGAACTGGGTGGATACGATCCGGAGTTAGATATATGGGGAGGCGAACAGTACGAGCTATCGTTCAAAATTTGGCAATGTGGCGGCCAAATGTTCGACGCTCCCTGTTCGAGAGTCGGTCACATTTACCGCAAGTTCCCACCATTTCCGAACCCGGGCAAAGGAGACTTTCTGGGCAAGAACTATAAAAGAGTCGCTGAAGTATGGATGGACGAATATGCGGAATATATCTACAAACGGCGACCGCATTACAGGGTGTTGGATCCTGGAGACTTGAAGCAGCAAAGAGAGTTGAGAGCTAAATTGCATTGCAAACCGTTCAAGTGGTTCATGGAGAACATCGCTTTCGATCTCGTGGACGTATATCCTCCCATCGAACCTGATGATTTCGCGTCTGGGGAAATACGTAACATGGGTGTGCCGGAACTGTGCCTGGACTCGAAGAAACGAAAAAAAGACGAACTAGTCGTGGTCGATGTCTGTAAGAAGGATAATGTGATGATCATCGGTGAACAGGAGTTTAAATTGACTTGGCACAAGGACATCAGGCCGAAAGATCGTACGGAGTGTCTGGACGTGTCCAGAGGCGGCACGAAGGCTCCGGTGAGCTTGTATCCTTGTCACGGTGGCCAGGGGAATCAACTCTGGCGTTACAACATCGAGAAACAATGGGTGATGCACGGATATTCGTCCAGGTGCCTGGACATGGATCCTGCCGGCAAGAAAGTGTTCGTAACTAACTGCGATTCGTCTTCTCCTACGCAGAAGTGGAGAATCGAGAAGGTGAACATGAAAGCTATTAACAATTGGGATAACGTGGGACCGAAACGACACTAATTGAGCTGTCTCTTATTGCCACAGTTTTTCTTATTCCTAATCTTGAAGCGACTCTAATTTCTAGTTTACTTGTATATAATATAAAAGTGCGTTACACTTTCATTAACTAGTCATTTAAAAATTGTGATTAATTGAGATTTGATCATTTTCCATTGAGGCACGTGCAGGGCGTCCATAATTATTGATACTTGTTCGTACTTGTTTCAAACATTACGAGATTCATTATTTTTAACAATGCCTTGAAGTATTTCGATTCATGCATTTTTTAACGCATTTATAATATATCGATGTAAATATTGTACGAACCCTCTGTTGTGCCTTAAACGTGTAGCCACATTTAAAACGTTATAAAAGGTGCAGTTATAATTACGACGATTACACTACAAACTTCGCTTCAGTGCTCAATTTTTTATCTACTAAAATACATTTTCTATTATATTATTAACGTACATATATATATATACATATTGTATATACTTAAGAATTATATGAGAACTGAATGCAAGACACAAAATTTCTTTATTGCCAAATTTTCGGAACCGTTAATTAATTAAGTTTTCCCGACTGAAAC